CCGCAATCCATTGTTGGGGGGGGGGCGCTATCCAGTTAATCAAATCATCAAACGTCGTCATCATCAAAAGTTGCCCAATACACCTGGATACCGAATCGAGTCGGTGTAATAAAAACGGTTTTTATTTCACGCTGTCGTATGATGAACAGCGGACGGCAAATTCCGTATTCACTACGATTAGTTGCGTAATCATGGAGACGGGCAACCTTAAATCCAGACAAAGTTGCACTCCTAGGTAACCAGCCGCCGTATCCTGTATCATCCAGTTTTCGATGCAGTGGGATAGCTCTGGTAAAAGCGAGGAGGCCTCAGATTCTGGATCTCAAGGTGAACTCTGCTGGCTGCTCATCAAAGTGATAATGAAAATTCAAGTAGCAATTGTTAAATAATATAATTTTTGTAGTTTAAATGAGCCTAATCTTTTCTGCTGCGGATTATTGTATGTTAACTGACAAATTTTGTTTTTTACTCTAGATATCTGACATACCTCATTTGGATTATCGTCTCTACGAAAATTTATCCCGTATGGGACTGGACCAATTGACTCCAGTGCAACGTCATGCTATCGGTATCATGTCGATAGACGAAACAGCCACTATCCAAGGTGACTCGTTTGAGTATCAGCGAGTCGTTGGGAAATATGATTTAATGGCTGCAGCACAAACTGGCTCTGGGAAAACTTTGGCTTATCTTATACCGATAGTCAATCGATTACTTAGGGTCTATCCCTATGAAGCCATGCAAGCGCGAGTAAGTTGGTAAAAATTTTCCCCACCGTATCCCTTTTTTCGTTGCATTTTTTTGACTTTTTAAGGTATCGCTGTCTATGGTTCACTCAAAGTTTTCACCGCTACACTGTCGCAGAGCGAAGTGCCTAACTGATAAAAGCAGATGAAACTGGGTAGATTCTCGAATTTATTCCTCAACTTTTCCTTGTCAGTTGAACTGTAACACAAATCAGTTCTCGTTGAATTACGATACATATTCATATGGGGTGCTAAGCAGTAAAATGCTTTTGTCAAATGACAGTGGCAGATGAGCCAACCCAATCTTGTAGTAACATTTTACACTTTGAAGATGCAAAACACATACCGAACCTGGCCACACTAGTGCTCCAACTATCGAGAAAAGCTTGCAACTTACTCGGATCTTCACTTAGTAGCACAATTTCATCTGCATACTCTAGAGCAGACAGTCTGCCACCTGGGAGTAAATCGATACCGCCATCGTCGCACGAGTATAGGGCTGTTTCAAGAATTGAATCTATCACGAAGTTGAATAGAAACGGCGAGAGAAGGCAGTCCTGACGAACACCACTTTCCGTGGTGAACTCGGGTGAAAAAGTGCCGTAAGGTCGGACTTGACTTCGGCTATTAGTATAAAGGGATTGTAATATTGAAATAAGCTCCTCGGGCATATCCTTCAGGGAAAGGCAGCACCAGAGTGGTCGACTGGGTCGGAAACTGCTTTCATATCGAGGAAGATAGAAATGATGGGTCTACGGAAGGACGCAGACATTGGTGCTCCTGCATCCACTCATTATTCCCTTATCACCATTCGATACGAATTCTCCATCTTCCACTTAAATTTGCTTTCAACATTCCAATTTTCATTCTGCTCTTTTATCTAAATGGGTCACCAAAAGACCAACCAAAACCGGCACACGAAAGTACATGGTTAATGGTTGTAAAAACAAACTGAGATGCAGATGGATAGAGCGGGGTTGAGTGGAGGTCTGGGGCCATCAAGAATTTTGTGAATTAGGGTGTCACACTAGGAAAGGTCCACAATTTCGTAGTCTATGATTTGAATTGGTGAAGGAACCACCGTTAATAATTTCCAAGTCGCATCCAAGAGTACTGAAGCCCTTTTTAATTGACCAGAAAAATTCGCAAGGGACAATAAACTAATATAGCAAGAATTCGCTAGTAGGCAATAAATCAAATATTTCAATGTTGTAGCCGAAGTTGGCTCAGCTTGCGAATCTGGAAAACTAAACTACGTAGACCAGTGACTTATTTTGCGCGCTGTGCCTCCTATGTATTCAGTAGCTTGTGTTCTGTTTCTCAATGGGGTTGGTGATCTTGGGTTTCACTGGTTACGCGAATGCAAAAGTCGTGGAAACGTTTATGTTGAAGTCGAACCAATCGGATAAAGGTTTGTGCTTGTAAGAAACTGCCCCAAAACGACATCGTATCAGATAGACTTGAGATGAACTGAAAAGAATTTACATCCACGGTAGGTTATCAATAGAAATCGAAAGCAAATATAGGGAAAGCATAGCACCTTATTGAACTTACGAGGATACCTAGAAGTTGTTTCCACCAAGAAAAGAGCCTTCTGGGATACGCTTTTGACTGCAGCTTCCGGAATCGAAAACCGAAGAGCGATAGAGAAAAACGGTAAACGGCTTTCTGGGAGCTATCTAAAGATCTACAATTAAGGTATCTTAACGAAGACGTAGTGTTAGAGTTCGGTAATAAGGGTTGTAAATATTTTTAAGCGTACCTGTGCTGTGTTTAACTGGGAATAAAGGTAGGCCATCTGGGCTTACTGCATTTGGGACGTTGATAGTTCGTATTAGACACAGATCAGCTGCTTGAGGTCATGGCTGCTCGTGACGAACAGCCTACATAGTTCGTTGTAGACCCTTACACGACCGGAGGTATGTGA